TATAAATATATTTCTATTTCTTACTTCATTATTATTCGAATTGAAATATTAGAATTGTGTCTATTATTAAATACTAGAGCGATATCTTAATATCGTATTCAATTGGCACTTTTCATATTCACTGAATATCGTAAAACGATATCTCGTCATTCATTACTGTTTCATATTTTGTTCTCACATATCTCACAATATCTTACATGCACACATTTTCTGAATACCGTTTTACGATATCCGCTGCTCTGTTTGAATATCGTATGTTTTGCTCACTATTTCGCATCTCTTTAAGCGCAGCCAACTCTGCTGAGTCTGTGCGTCCATGTGTGTGTGTCTTTAGCGTCTGTGTATGTGTGTTTAGCCATGTGCATGTCGTTTTTGTTATAATTAAACAAAGGCTTTTTGCAAAACATTGTGAGCTGATGTAACAAGTGCTTCCATTTAGTAGATCCAATCACTCGCACTCCCTGGCTGGCTGGCTGGCTGGCTGGCTGGCTGGCTGGCTGGCTGGCAATGGCTGATAGTAATATTCCCAGTCAACTGATGGAAACGCATAAGCTCTACATGCATACACACATACGAAGTGTGTCTAGGTCTATACAATATAAATGATATATACGAATATGCCCAGAGCAGTGTCTATATAAAAAATAACAATTATGCTTATAGATGTGCTAGCTTTTAATGAGCTTAAAGCTGTCATTCGCTCTCCCTCTCCCTCTTTCTCTCTCTCCCTATATAAGCCTGTCTCTTTCCTTATATTTTTGTCTCCCCTTTGTCACATTTTTATATAGTATACACATACACGTACATATATAGTTACTCTGTATGCCATGTGGCCCTCTGACAATAATGGCTGTGGCGATAAATATTAATGACAATCGTTGTGGCACTTCACTTTGTTTACATTTCGACTTGTCATTCGTGGCCAAACAGAGCGAGTACACAGTGAGAATAAAAGGAAGTGCACAACTAAAATATACCCTAGCTGGGGGCAAAGAAGTTGAAAATGTTAAAGTAAAATTCAAGCTGGGAAGAAGAGAGTGACTTGGCACTACTTGGCACATAATATTATGTGTGTAGAATACATACCTTTTCAACGGGAAAGAACGAGCACATCACAAAGATACCCTGTGTAGAA